GGGTTTGGACCTGTTGCTTTGTAATGGCTTCTGTGTGGGTTTTCTGTTGTGACTGTTCCATACAGGGATATTGGATTCTCCTTCCTCATGTGCACGTCCTATGGCTGTGAGCACTTGCGGATTTCCATTCCCCTCTCTCTCCCCCCCCAACACAACCCCATGGCAACCCTCTCTCCTAGTCAGTTGTGAATGGTCTGCTTATTCCCCGAAAAGCCAACTCTTCTGCCTTCTCTGAACACTCCTGTACACAATTAGGAATCACCACAAAAGAGTCACCTCCTATTCTTCCATGTTTAAAAATCTGGTTCTCCTCATGCTTCTATGTTCAGGATTGAGCAGCCACCTGAAAAGGAGGAAGGAAGTCCCTTCACAATGAACACCACTGATAAAGGGAATTGGACAATTTCTTATGATGCTGAAAATCCTATGGATATGGCTATTTCACTCCAGATTTGAGAGAGCGAAATCATTCTATTAATTTCTCAAACTTAGATATGCAGAGTAAATCACATGGATTTCCTCCATCATGCAATGCCACCAGTTCCCTGATTACACAAACCAGAATGAAAGGCATTATTTTTGCCAAATTGTTCTGGGCTTGTTGACAGAGATTACATGTCTAAAAATGTTACTACCCTGACAATCCCTTTTGTATCACAAAATGGAGAGAATAAAGTAGAACGGGCACATGATCTCTGTGAGGTAGCAATGCCTCAGCAGCCTTAACCCACTGGGTCCCTATAAAGTTGAACAGAATTGCACTGGGTTTGGACCTATTGCTTTCTAATGGCTTCTGTGTGGGTTTTCTTTTGTGACTGTTCCATACAGGAGAATTGGATTCTGCTTCCTCATGTGCAAGTCCAATGGCCGGGAGCGGATTTCCATTCCCCTCTCTCTCCCCCCCCAACACAACCCCATGGCAACCCTCTCTCCTAGTCAGTTGTGAATGGTCTGCTTATTCCCCGAAAAGCCAACTCTTCTGCCTTCTCTGAACACTCCTGTACACAATTAGGAATCACCACAAAAGAGTCACCTCCTATTCTTCCATGTTTAAAAATCTGGTTCTCCTCATGCTTCTATGTTCAGGATTGAGCCGCCACCTGAAAAGGAGGAAGGAAGTTGCTTCACAATGAACACCACTGATGAAGGGAATTGGACAATTTCTTATGATGCTGAATTTTCTGACGCTGACCTGTCTCTCAACACACAAGTTTGCCTCTCTGCTGTGAGTCAGGCAAACTCTACTGTGGAAGTGACAAGTGAGTATTCTCACAAGAATAAAGCTCCCACTGCACTGGCAGGGAGCCTCCATATTGTTTGTGTGCAGCCTTCTGTCTGGGAAGAGAGCTATCTCTACCCACGTAGGCCCTGTATAGCCACCTCAGTTGGAGTCCAACTCTACGAGTTGTAAGCACAGATAGTCATGTGAGGTGACTTCACACTGTTTCTAGCGTCTGGCCACACTGCCTGCGACCAGGCACTTACTGGCCAATGTACAGTGTTAGAATCAATGCAGTGTGAACAAACCAGGGGTATCCTCACCATCTCTGCCAGGCCTTATCATATAGACAGTATCTGACACAACTTCTATTGTGTAATATGCTCTTACCTTCCAAGGTCTTGCTAATCTTTACACACTGCTTGACAGAAACAGAGAGAGACAGAGACAGAGAGACAATGTGAGAAAGCACTCCCCAGTAGAATGATCATGTCTACATATCTCCTCTGTTTTACCTATCAGGGTTTGGGTAGGAACCCATATGTGCAAACAGTCATGATGATGCCTCAGGACATGTAACTCAAGTTGTACACTACGTTCTCAGGGATTCACTTACGTTTGTGCTCAGGTCATCATTTGGACCTATTTGGGGTTCTTATTACCATAGTTTCTTCACTCTGAGTTCCATCCCCCCTCCTCCCAGCTGACTAGTCCTCATAAGCAATCATCCAAGAAGTGAAAACATGAAAACCACTGTCTTGCCTGGGCCGGGACTTGCTCTGGTGAGACGACCTGGCTCTTCCTATCCCAGTCTTCATAAAAATGACCCAAAATCTTGTGCGTCATTTGCTCTGATGAGACGACCTGGCTCTTCCTATCCCAGTCTACATAAAAATGACCCAAAATCTTGTGCTTCATGAAGTACCAAGTATAAGATAGGTTGAACTTTGGCAGACCTCAAGATGGGGTGATTGAACAAATGTTTGGTGAGCATGGGAACCTTGGTGAGCGTGAGACCTAGAGTGGCCTCTGTAAGAGTAGGCCAGGGCTCTTGAAATCAGTGAGATGCAGGGTACTGAAAACACACAAATGCACCATTCTCCAGATTTGGGGGTCCAGCCTGCCCATGCTAGCTTTTGTCTACCAAGGCACAACATTCCTTTCCTTTGCCAGAGTTTCCTGTCAGGACAAATGTGCCTGCATTCATCTTTCTCCTGGCCTTGAACTCCTGATACAAATACCCAGATA